GTGTGTGTGTGTATGTAGGTATATAGGTTTTTTCTTCTTTTTCTTCTTGGAGCATATAAAATAAACATTGACCAGCAGCATATAAAATCAAGAAACAAAAATACAATAACAAAAGAGCATCTAAATCAACTAAACAGACAGATAGCCAACCAACCAGGCAGCAGCCTCCACCAACAAAATAAGATTTGACTGTTTCAATTTTGTTGTGAATGCACGACGAAGAAATCAGGTTTGTGCCTTAAGTCTTTTGTTTTGTTTTCTTGGTGTCTCTCTTTTTGGTTTTATTTGGTTCGCTTGCAACGTCTGTCTCAGACCAATAAACATGTTTGATCACAGTTGAGGTTGTGTTTGTTTTTTTTTTTTTTCTTAAAATATACAATTTTTTTTACCTTTGTTTGATTTTATTTCATTTTTGATTCTTCGTTATCGTATCGTTGAATGGAATGGAATGCCGTTGAAGTGAGTGTTGGAATGAAGTTAATAGAAAAAAAGACAACATAACACTTCAGTAGTGAAATTATTTGTGGTTTCCAATGAATATTTATTGAATAAGGAAGAAAGAATTTTTTTTTGAAAAATGTAAAGAATTGTTATAAATATTCCATATTTTGAAAAGTGAAACAAAATGTAATAAAAAGTGAAATTGAACGACTTAAATGAAGTTTGAAATTAAAACGTAGAAAAAAAAAACAAATGAAGAAAAGGTTTGATACGAAAACAAATGCTAACAAATAAAGAAATATTAATCCTTTTTTAAAAATTGAAAATTAAACTGAATTGAAACTGTCAAAGAATTGAGTGAAAATATTATCAATCAAGAATTGGGGAGGAAGTGATCAGAGAATGATTTTTGACGGTTTCAATAAATAAATCCAAATAATAGTTCTTATTGTGAAAACGCTTTTCAGTTGTGTCTATCAAAATTATTGACCATAAAGTATTCTGAACTAAAATAATTAAAAGAAAATTAGGTTTGGCCGGTCTATTGGGCAAACAAAATATTTTTATATCAAAAAATATCTGAAATCATAAAAATATCTGAAATCAATATCGTTTGGATAATGCTGTTAAATTTTTCAAAAAAAAAAATATATAAAGTGGGTGAGGCCGATTTATGAGGGCTATACCAAAACGGGAACCTCTATAGACAATTTTATACTTCAAAGATTCTCATCTACCAAATACTCTTAAATACCAAATTTGAAACAATTTCGTCGGTAAATGTGACTAGAATTATCAAAATACGGAATATCGGTGGGTATCGTTATATTCGTGCTATACGAAAACGTGGACCTATACATACTATGTTCCGCCACAGAGCTAAAATCCATTACGAACTACAAATATCAATTTTTAGGTTTTTTTTAGAAAATCGTCACCGAATATCGGGTGGTACCATTATATGGGAGCTATACCAAACGTCGACCTATATATACTATGTTCCGCTACCGGAGCTAGAACTTATTACGAACAACAAATGCACATTTTTAGACGAATCTGTGAAAAAGTGTGGCAAAAATCATAAAAATACCAAATATTGGGAGGTACCGGCTATACCAAAATTTGGACCTATTTATCTCATTTTCAATAACATCCTAGACACAATACAAATTGTTCTGTCAAATTTTGAAGTCTATGTCAAATAATGTGGACTGTATCGTGATTTCAACAGGCAGACAGACGGACAGACAGACAGACGACGAATATTTGGGGATGTTACGAACGGAATGAGAAAGTTGATATACCCTCCGTTTCAAGGTGGAGGTCATTAAAACCTGTTCATATTTTCGAAACCTTGACTTATGGCCAAATTGGCTATTCTCACAAACCCTAACATTTGCAGTTTCCTTTACAGAGAGGCTATACCTATAATGAGAATGTTTTGAGAGAAGATAATCTGAAATATTAAATTACAGCTGATTTGTTTGGAAATTGAGATTGAAACCTTCAAAATGTCGAAGAGTTCCTATTACAAAAAGTGTAAATACATTGAATTAAACTACCCACTGTGAACACAGAAGCCAAATTATAACTGATTTGATTGGAAAGTGGGACTGTAATTTTTTTAAGGAGACTATATTAAAAAGGGGACCTAATTTGAACATTTTTCGTGAACCGTAATTTTACTGATAAATAAATTAGCATAAATCTCCAAAATACCCAAAATTGAGAGTCTGAAAATTTGGTGCCGAAACCTTCAAAATTTTGAAGATACCATGAAGTGGTTATAATTTGAATATTTTTCGGATTTTATATAAACAAATGCTCCCTTCGATTCTATTTTCTATTTTTAAAATATTAAATTTTTCATTCCGTTTGTAAATCCCCGAAATCAGCATTTTAGATCCACAAAACATAAGGAAGAACAAACATTAAAACATTAGAAGAAGAAAAATAAGAACGTTGATCAAATTTCGATGAGTTGCATTTTAGGTCTGGTATTGAAAAAGGATAATGTGGACCTACATTTTGATGTAGCCCCATATAACTGTACCGCCAGATTACAGGTGTTTTTTTTCGTTTAGTAGAATTTTTTTTGTCTTCCCAGTATGTAGGGAACATCCAGGCAGAGGAATATTAATATAAGTTCAAGTTTTGATATAGTATAGGACCTCCAGGTATTCGGAATGGTTCAAACCTTGTGTTTGGTGTTCAGATCAATATCTTCGTATAATCGACCATATAACGGAACCTCCCTATATTCGGTATTTTGGTGATTTTGGCCACACTTTTCACCAGAATTATTTAAAATTCGGAAATGACAGAAACATTTCTGTATAAATCCACGCGGATTTTTTTTACTTGTTATTTTTTCCTTCTGATGGACAGAGCAAGTAAAGCACAGTTATTTCCCACATCGGATACTTCCTTAGAGACTTATCGTGCGCATCGGTCGGATAGTGAGCCGAATATCGCAAAATCGACTCTAGGGTCCTTAAATTGATTTCGCCCAAAGAGTATGTAATGCTAAGTTCACATAACACGTGATTCGCTCTCTATGCCTTGTTCGACCATTAATTAAGAAATATCTACTTAATTCCCCACACAAAATTTGCTGAGCGAACAAAGAATTTTATTCTTTGTTCCATTCAAATCACTCTCAGAACTAAGATGAAATGTGAGCCATCCCTAACAAATGAGAGCATTTATCGAAAAAATTAATTATGGCATTTACAAATTCAAAATAAAAAAAATTTAATGAAATTTTAAAAGATTTTGGGAAGGCTGAAAATTATGAATGAAAACTACAATGTTGAATGGCGTATGTACATTCAAACGAAATAAATTTTGTTTTCTCTCTCTCATCCGAGGTACGCATTTCGTTCACGGGTTAAAATTTCCATAGAAAACTGGAAACAAAAGAGGCAATATTTTCAAAATGTTTGTATCGGCAGTAAAAATGTTTGACAAGTGTCTCTCCAGAAGAATTTAAAAATAGAAAAATACAGAAAATCTATTACGAAGAACAATTGCTTTTAAAAATCAAATTTTGTGCAAAATATCCTTCCTTTGATGTCTCTCTGACAAATAAAAAAATAACAAAAATTATGAGCTGAAACTCCGTTTTTATACCCTCCACCTTGAAAAGGAGGGTATATTAACTTTGTCATTCCGTTTGTAACATCCCTAAATATTCGTCGTAGACCCCATAAAGTATAGATATTCATAATCAGCATAAAATTCTAAGACGATTTAACGATGTCCGTCTGTCTGTCTGTCGGTCTGTCTGTTAAAATCACGATACAGCCAACATTATTTGACGTAGAGCGTCAAAAGTTAGCAGAATAATTTGTATTGCATCTAGGATGGTTGGTATTGAAAATTAGATATATCGGTCCACGTTTTGGTATAGTCCCCATTTAACGGTACCTCCCGATATTCGGTATTTTGATGATTTTTGCCACATTTTTTCATAGATTTGTCTAAAAATTGGTATTTGTTGGTCATAATGGGTTCTAGCTCCGGTGGCGAAACTTTACATGTATAGGCGCACGTTTTGGTATAGCCCCCATTTAACGGTACCTCCCAATATTCGGTACTTTGACGATTATTACCACATTTTTTCGCGGATTTGTCTGAAAATTGGAATTTGTAGGTCATAATGGGTCCTAGTTCGTGCGCCGAAACATTGTATCGATAGGTCCACGCTTTGGTATAGCCTCCATATAACGGTATCATCCGATATTCGGTATTTTGATGGTTTCTGTCACATTTTATCACGGATTTCTCTAAAAATTGGAATGTGTTGGTCATAATGAGTTCTAGCTCCGTTGGCGAAATATTGTATGTATAGGTCCACGCTTTTGTATAGGCCTAATTAGCGGTACCTCCCGATTTTCGGTATTTTGATGATTTTTGCCAAATTTTCCCACGAATATGTCTAAAAATTGGTATTTGTGGGTCATAATTGGTTCTAGTGTTTCCACTACCCTAAGGTGGAGGGTATTAAAAGTTTGGCACGGCCGAATTTAATGTTTTTTACTTGTTAATATTATCCTTACATTTTGTTGTAAAATTCGTATAACGTTTTAGTTCGAATGTAAAAGATAACAAAGGACTATAGCCATATTTTATTCCATCTTCAATGAAAATTTATTACGAAGTAATATTACTTTTGAATATTAAATTAAATCTTTGGCAAAAGTTCAAAATAGCATTAACTCACGTTTTTAAATGTCACACAGTCTGTGAGATTTATTTTTAAATTTGAAACCACTCGATTGCAAAAAAATATAAATAATTCACAATTTTTGAAATATTTACTTGATTATGTGAATCACTCACATAATAATTATTATAATACTCACATAGCTGTTGATGCTGCAGCAGCATCTTTCTTTACACCAGGAAAACAGCCACAACAAAATGTGTGTCAAAATCCCACGCCAAAGACAATACAGCCAAATTTTGTTTTTTTTTTTTTTTTCACGATAAGAGACGTTATAAACATATAATTAGCTGATTATATTAACATAAAATTGTCATTAATAAAAAAAAAAATAAAAACACGCACATACATGAACACAGACAGGTATAGATTACAACTTTGAAAATATGATGTGGATTATGAAAGTTTACTAATCTATCTGATTCATACGCCTTCGCTAGTAGAAGTTAAATGACAAAAGAAGTCAGTCGTTTAATTCTTATCGGCAGAATATTTCATAGCTTAAACGAATCTGCTCAGCAAAGGGAGCTACGTCAATGGACCAAAATCTCTCCGTTTTTTAATATTTTATTTTATCTTGATGTCATTCATATTTAAAAAAGTTTGAGATGTTGAGCCTAAACCGGCCATAAGCACTGAAAATAAATATATTTTATAAAACTTCGCAATGTAAACAGTAAATATTTAAAAAAAAAATTAAACCGAAACTTTATTTTCTTAAATTCTTGAAAAAAATACGTTTTGAATCGAATTCTTCTTAAAATCCACAGTTTTTTTTTTTTTATTTTCCAGAGCAATACTTCTTTAGTCCATCTACTAAAGAATGCATCGTCTTGCCGATCCAGATGTACCTGTGGGAGTACTCAGCAATAATCAGACCATAAATATACAAAACAACGCCATGAATCACGTAAATAATCTATCACAAGGCATGAGCTCAAGTGGAGTGGGACCCACAACCTCTGCCTTTGATGCGCTGCCCAAACCCTTTGTCCAGTCAATGAAAACATTATTCGATATTTTGGATGATCAACGTACAGGTTATGTGAAATTTGTTGACATAGAAAAAGGATGGCAGGATGATGGTAGTAAAGGTTTGCCACGAGGTGTTCTGGAATCTTTACGGAAAGTAACACCCATCAGTGGCCTGTTGACATTCGAGCGGTTTTGTGCAGGATTAAAACTGTGCCTGCTGAGGAATCAAAATACCAATGCAGGACAACATAACCAAGAAACGCAACAACAACATATCAAGAGTAATGTGACAACAAATAACAGTAATGTTTCACCCTGGAAAACCAAGTCACCAAGTAAATCACAAAGACCCCCCTCAGCTCCGGCATTGGATATTGAAAATCCCCTACCCCGGAATCCATGGGCGGGCAATAGAACTTTGAGTCTACCGCAACTTAGTCCAGATTCAGATGGAGATCTAAACACAACGGCCAATATTATACGTTCCGTCTACAACAGTCCGCCGCCGCCACCAAAACCACCGAGGGCCTCAGTACTTAATGCCAATGGTGGAAACTCGGGAATATTGGGAACCACCAATGTAGGCCCCACCACAACCACCAACAATGTCATGGACAAGGCGGAAATACGCAACGCCTTACAAAATTGGCAAATGGGAGTGTTGCGCAATGAAATCGATGCCAAGGATAAATCGAAACCAACAAATTTCCTCCAACAATGTGGTTATCGTGGCAGTGCCGATGGCGGTTCCTCATCGGCCACAGATAGTGGGAATTTTTCAAATGCTCCTCTAAAAAAGGCCTCAGTTAAGAGGCGAGAACCACGAAGACACACGCTACAGAATGGCATCGATTATAATATGTTGAAACGTTTGAAACAATTCGAAGAAGAACGAGAGGTTCTGCTTTTGGGTTTGGATGCGGTGGACAAAGCCCGAGAATGGTATTTGCAGCAGTTGGTTAATGTCCAGGAGAAGATAAAATATCTGGGGAGAATGGGCTCAACAAATGTAAGCAGAAAACTATTTTTATTTTGGATACACTTTTCTATTCCATTCCCAATTTATCTAGAAGTCCTATATTCGGTGTGTTTCAAAACAGAGAATACTCTGCTAGGCTCCTCTATAGATCGTTAATATACATACCTTCTAATGGTCTTCAATGGATAGGGAACCTTCTTTAGACAAACCCTCCCAAAATATGGGTCTGTCAGAAAACTTTTTTATTTATTTATTTTATTTATTTATTTATTTATTTTTTTTTTTTTTTTGAAAATCGAGTAAAGCTTCGGCTTTTTTGGTTTGTGTCATCTTGTTAAAACCAAGAGTTGTCAATATCCTCCTTTTCAATTTTTAAATTACGTAACGGTCACACCTTCCTTTTTTTGCCGTCCTGTTAAAACCAATTATTATCAATATCCTCCTTTTATTATTTTAAATTACGTAACGGTCACACCATCCTTATTTTGTGAGAAAAATGTTCAATTTACGAGCTGGACCTAAATCCGTAACAAACAGTGGCTCGTCTTGAGTGCAACTGCCTTTATGCGACATTTTTGTTTGTTAACATACGGAGAGAAGGTACGGTGCTTCTCTTCTTCCAAAATCCGTAAGCAATTATCGCGCACTTTCTGCAACATTACCATGATTTTCAAGGTAATGTTGCAATACCCCCCAGCGAGGTTGAAGCATATACACATGTATTCTCTCAGAGGTATGATAATACTAATTATCTTTCAAATCAGACATAAGTTAAGTGTTACTATTCCCGAAATGAGCATTGGCTGAAAAACGGTTAGATTGTGGACATTTAAGCAGGCTTTCCATAATTCGGCTTTATATGGTGTGCTCTTCCATACTTCTGGTCTTTTAATATAGTACTCCATAAATAAAATACCTTTAACCGAATCTCAATAATTAGAATACCTTCCATTGGTATCTTCAATGGTTAAGTGGACATCGAAAATGAAACATCAGCAAGAACTCTCGACACTGCAGCACATTATCTTAACCAGCATTATGCATCTAGGTTTCCTCGTTGTATTAACTATCGATGGTCCTTTGATGCTCGATGCCTAGATTAAACTCAGGAGGATAATTCTAATCAATAACACATTGTGTTTCCCGGAGGTGTTCAATATTCATGGAGGTGGCCAATACTCGACACAAAACGCATGTTATTGCCATGCTTGCCAAGTCCTATATTGGGTGTTTTATTCTACGGGAAACACTCCTATAAAATAAACGATTAAAAGTTAATAGGCATTTGAAAATTATTTTACAAAAAATTGAGATTTAAAGTCTGAGGGACATTTAAGAAAGGTCCTTCAAATTCCACGATTATAGGCAGGATAGTTGTTTAAAAATATCCTGTTATATCCCTATAGTCTTTAAAATTATTCTTTTATAAAACTTCAATTAGAAGTGCAATCGTCGTTTAAGTCCACAATAACATGTGTGATCGTCGTTAAAAAATACTCATTTTAAAGTCCACGATAATAGTTCTTATAGTCGTTTAAGAATACTCCTTCCGAAATCCATGATAATAGGTCCAAAAGTAGTTTGAAAATATTACTTTAAATGCCACAGTTATAAGTCCGATAGTCGTTGAGGAATATTCCTTTAAACGTTCGCTATTATTGTCCGACAGTCATTTAAATATCCTTCTCTTTAAAACAAGGAATATTAATGCAATAGACGTTTAAAAATTTACTTTTAACATCCTCGATTATAGATCTGATAGTCGCTTAAAGATATTTAAAAACAGGTTTATGGGATTGAAAGTCATTTAGAATATTCCTTCAAAAATCCACGATAATTGGTCTACCAGTCGTCTAAAAATTCCACGATTATAGCCCTGATATTCGTTTTAAAATACACCTTTAAAAATCAACAATTAATGGTCTGATAGTCGTTTAAAAATATTCCTTAAAAAATCCAAGACTTTCGTATTGGTAGACGTTTAAAAATATTTATTTAGAAGACCACGATCGTAGGTCTGATAATAGATTAAAAATTTAACTTTAAAAATCTACAATTGAAGATCTGATAGAACTATAAGAACATTCCTTTACCACATTTGTAACTCTCGTTGACTTTTTAAAATATTAATTTTGTTCATTTCTTTACTAATTTTCTATTTTTCTAATTTCCTATCATTGGGTATCTCATGTTTAATATTAAACCTTTCGTAAAATGTCTTGTTTATTTTCAAGGTGTCTGTTCCAAGGAGCCGTGCTTCAAAATATCTAGAACCTCTCCCCTCTCTCTCTCTCTCTCTCTCTAATTTCATTCATATTTAGATATAACTTCCATACATTTTCAAATTGAGAACCCAATATTTATAATTTTTTTTTCATTAAATCAGTCCTTGAATTATTTATTAATTTCCCACACTTCTAATACTCTTCTTATTAATAATATTTGCTATTTAACTGGTCCTCAGTAATTTCTTAAAACAATATCTACTTTCTCTTATTTTCAGGAACAATGGTCTGAGGTGCAACAGGAACGTCTGAATTTCCAAAGAGCTCGAGTCCTTGAAGTTAATCGCAGTCTTTCCGTTTTGGCCGACACCTGGGACAGAGGTGGTGGTTTCCCATTCCACTTTAATTTGGCTTTTCGGACACCACCAAAAATACCCTCCTCCAACCGGACGGCTGCCGCGTTGAGCAACACCATTGCCGATCGTCTTCGGCAACAGAATCGTTTGCTGGCCAACGAGGGCCACCTGAAGAGTGAACGCATTGTGATGTTGGAAAGAGAGAAACAGACTTTATTAGCTGAATTATTTGAATTGAAACAGCGTTCGGGATTGGCACGCCACACAAATAGTTATTTAAATGTCTTGAGTCAATCGTCGCCGGGATGTAGTACGTCATCGGGTGGCGGTGGTGGTTTGGGCGATGCTGATGTTGTTTATTAAAATGCATATAAATATTGGAAATATATTGTAGCTTAGTTTTAAAATTATATTAAATAAAATGTACTAAAATAATGATAAGAAAAAAGTGAATTTGTTTTCAAAAGACCAATATTATATTCATTGAAAAGGGCCTCATTGAATGAAATTAATACATAAAATCAATATTTCCCCTCTATATATAAGGAAGGACCCATTTTGTTAAAATAAAAGTAAAATCCAAGTTTATTATTGTCCATATCTCCAAAAAAATTCCCAACATTAAAAAGGTTTTTTTATTGAATATGGATTCACATAATTTAAGGGCAAGCAGTTTCGATATGACTACAATAGCAGATATTAAATTGGTTTCGTACGCATACATACCCTAAAACCCATTACTACTAGCTCTGATTTCGAGCAATTCCTTGTGATTCATCACTAACCAAATTACTGAAATATTCAAAACAATTTTATTTCTTAGAAATTATTCAAGGAGCTAACATTCCACAATTTCCATTTAAACTAAAAAAAATCATTCATATAATCACTAAATGCAAACACCGCCATTTCATTCAGGATTAGGAAACCGTCTCATGTACTTATTCAACTGTTTATAGTTCAACTCCTTGCCAGGAGTGACAATACCTTTATTGATTGTTTCCTTGGCGGTGGCTTTGCGATCCATATAAACTTTGTAGCAACGTTTGAATTGTGTGATTTCCTTGTGACACATTTTCTCCACGAAATCATTTTCTTTTAGACATGCAAAGAGTACAGACATCTCCTGCAGGCAGGCTACATCTGATCCAGAGTCGGCTTTACCACTCACCGTGTTCTTTAAACGCAGTGGTAAAATTTCTTGGAATGGAACTTCAGCCTCATTTTGGGGAGTGCGTGCTTGGCGCTTGGCAAAGAGGGCAGCAGTTGGTATGCGCATGCTATAGGTAATACAAGTAAAGCATTAGTGAAACTTGTACAATTTGTTGCAAAGAATAGTGTTTAATAAATAAACTATACCTGGATCCAAATTCTTATTGACAAAAATCCACAAATACGAAAAATATCCACCAGCCAAGCGGCCCCAGACCTGCGGTTGTTACGAAAGTCTCTTTTGTAAATACAAAGCTGGCATTAAAAACCACCGCCGTTACGTGATGGAAGCCTGGAATAAAGCAAAATGTGTGATAAAAATCGGAATGAAAACAAAAACGCAAACATGCTAGTAGGGTTGGCGAGACCGAAAACCAGAAAGGAGTAGGGCTTTAAAAATAGTTATACGTCGAAAAAAGTAAAACAAAATATAAGCGTAAACTTATTAATTAGTTGGTTTTTAGTTTTTATTTTATTAACCTTCAGGCATAGATGCTTTGTTCGTAACAGTGGACACCAGGAGCAAGTTTCATTTAAATACTCTTTCACTCCTTGTCCGAACCCCTAAGTCGGTGATTCAACTCCTCATCGAAGGCCACAATATTATCTATTCAATAGATCCGGCCACCTCATGGTAGAAGAGTACGGGTAGTTTCATCGACACAGATGCTGAGACAATGACCTGTCAAACTAATTTTGGAATTGAAATTTTTGAAAATTTATTATTGAAAAAATTTTCAAATTTGTAAAAATGGTTAAAAAATGCATATTATAACAAACTCCGAGTGTATAAAATTTATAGTTTATGAAACAAAATAAATCTTTAGAGAAATATGTAACATAATTCTGAACAGAAATGTAGAACTTTCATTCAATTTTCCCGTTTATTGTTTATGCATTCAAAATCAATGCAACAAGTTATTTTGTTTAATTGGTAATAAACAATTTGTTGTATTTGATTCAATAGTAATTCTGACATTACAATTCATAGAGGTTAGCCTCTTTTCTTTACTTCATTCAATCAAATGTTTACAATTTATTTCAAAATTATTCATTTGACAACATCGCATTGTCAAAATGTATAATTATAAATACATTGTACATACACCTATTAGAGATGGGAACCTGTTTTTTATGCAGTGAAATTTGACAAGGTAAATTACAGAAAATACAGAGCTGGGAATGCTAATTCGAAATGAGGTTATCTTTATTTCATTGTACCCTTACATTTCTATATTAACGAAAGGACTGAATCTAGTTCTGTTCGTGTCCTTCACGGAATAGTTTGATTTGAACATGCTCTTTTACGATCTATTGAACTCTACAGATCATTAAAAAGTCGATCTACGTATCCCTGATGAAAAAGAATAATAAATGTTTTTACAAACAATTAATTCGTTGTTATTCGCGTTATTCGTTTAGTTTATTAATTAAGTGTAATCGCTGTTAAACAATAATACAAAAACACCACATAAACAAAGTCAACACACACAAACAACAAAAATGAGTGTATCCGAGACAAATAATAGCAGCTCAACTGCAACTCCAGCAAATTATACACCAGCAACATCTAAAAGGCAATTACCAACCATCAACAATATATTTTATGTGTCCCTATACTTCGTTCTCTATGTATATGTATTGGGAGTTGTTCAGTTCCAAAATGATGTGTTGGGAAATTACTTTCCATTATATGATGAAGTGAAGAAACAAAAATTATAAATAGCATGTGTCTCTCATTGTATTGGGGTAAATGGGGAAATGAGCAATGCATCTTTCTAATTGGAACAAATATTGATTGCCTGTTTAGTATTGATTCATAAAGATCAATCAAAGATCTAATATTGGAATGGGAACAACTCTAGTTTAGTAAAAACTCTTAGATTTTTTCGAAATTTTTTCCAGAGGTAGGTATTTTTACCCTGATCCCGGGAAACTATTTTTTTCTTGGGGGACGGACCCGGGACCCCAGATTTTTGACCCAAAAGTCCGGGATCAAGACCCCGCCTGGACCCGGATCCACTTACCCGATATAGACAATATGGGTATCGATTGAAAGCTTATGGAAATACCTATCCAACAAGTGGTCACATGAAGGGGTAAGTTTTCATGGTTCGGAAGTTATAGTCAAATTATCGATTTTTTGGACCCGGATTTTTTATGAAACCCCCAAAAAGTCAAAAAAGGGCCCATTATGGGGGTCAACAAAATTGTTTCCAAATTATAGCTGACACTCTTACCTTTCCAAAATGCTACAATTTGTGCTAATACCTTTTTCGGTTCCAGAGATATGGGTCTTTCCATCCGCATAACCCGATTCTAACCAGTTCATTAAAATTATGTTTTTAATAAAAAAAAGTGTTTATTTCGCGTAGCAGTCGTCGGAATAACAAAAGTTTTCTAAATTTGGCACTTTTTGTAAATAGCCGGCCTTCGGCCGGGGCTTGAGATTTTCACCTATGGGTATGTCCGACCCCGGCTAACGCGAACAAAAGGTTCATAATTTCGGCACTCTTTGTAAATAGCCGGCCTTCGGCCGGGGCTTGAGATTTTTTCCTCTGGGTATGTCCTACACCGGCTAACGCGAACCAAAGTTTTCTAAATTGGATACCTTTTGTAAGTAGCCGGCCTTCGGCCGGGGCTTGAGATTTTCTCCTCTGGGTATGTCCTAAACCGGCTAACGCGAACCAAAGTTTTCTAAATTTGACACTTTTTGTATATAGCCGGCCTTCGGCCGGAGCTTGAGATTTTCTCCTCTGGGTATGTCCCACACCGGCTAACGCGAACCAAAGTTTTCTAAATTTGACACTTTTTGTAAATAGCCGGCCTTCGGCCGGGGCTTGAGATTTTCTTCTCTGGGTATGTCCCACACCGACTAACGCGAACCAAAGTTTTCTAAATTGGATACCTTTTGTAAGTAGCCGGCCTTCGGCCGGGGCTTGAGATTTTCTCCTCTGGGTATGTCCTACACCGGCTAACGCGAACCAAAGATTTCTGAATTTCATTCTTACGCAAAATATACCTTTTTTATTGAAAACATAGTTTTAATGAACTGGTTAGAATCGGGTTATGCGGATGGAAAGACCCATATCTCTGGACTCAGTAAAGGTATTAGCACAAATTGAACCTTTTTGGAAAGGTAGAAGTGTCAGCTATAATTTGGCATCAATTTTGTTGTCCCCCATAATGGACCCTTTTTGACTTTTTGGGGGTTTTATAAAAAATCCGGGTCCAAAAAATCGATAATTTGACTATAACTTCCGAACCGTAAGATCTTACCCCATCATGTGACCACTTGTTGGATAGGTATTTTCATAAGCTTTCCAACGATACCCATATTGTCTATATCGGGTAAGTGGATCCGGGTCTAGTAGGGGTCTCGAACCCGGACTTTCGGGTCAAAAATCTGGGGTCCCAGGTCCGTCCCCCAAGAAAAAAATAGTTTCCCGGGATCATGGTTAAAATACCTACCACTGAAAAAATTTTCGAAAAAATTGAAGAGTTTTTACTAAACTAGAGTTAAGCCTTGGAATGCATATTTTAATACTCCTACTTTATTTTGCTACATTCATTCTTTTATATTTATAGTGCTTTTTCCATTTGTTCTTTCTTATAGGCAATTATCCAGATTTCATCCTTACCATGGCAACAACATAATCTTATGTGAAGATAACACAGTGGCCTTTCGAAAGACCAGCTTTGCCGATGCTGTTACATTTTCCGAAAAACCATTGCAAATGGGTGAAATATTCCTCGTTGAAATTGAGAAAAACGAAAGAGGTTGGTCGGGCCATATGCGTTTGGGCCTAACACAGCTGCTCCCGGATGTGTTGGGATCAATGGAATCTGGTTTGCCACAATTTGCCCTACCCGATTTGGCGAATTTAGGTACCTGTTGGATATTTCCCATATCGAAATTTGAATCTCACACACTGACACCACGTTCAAATGCCGGTGATGGCGGTGGAGGAGGTGGTGATACGACAAACGATGGACAACCCTCTACAAGTTCAGCGGGAGCGACAAAAAGTAAGTTGTTTCGCAAAACGCACACATACATACATATATGAACAAAATTAACTTGAAATCAGTTAGGGGTCAATCGCCTTAGGCAGGTGAGATGTTTACTTTTAAAAATTGCAGTCACAAAAAAGCAGAGGAATATCAAACAGTGTCATGTATATTAAAATTAGTCACATTTTAAGGGGATTTTCAAGAAGCTTTACCATAATGAGTAAGGAAGAAAGTTTTTTGCAGAAACGGAAATGGTTTTTATTTATAATAATTATTTTCTGATTTCTAGTCATTTAATTCGACCTTTATTTTAAATTATTTTGTATGATTGAGCTTGAGTAATAATTATTTAAAAAAAAAGTAAGCGATATTTTGTATGACGTTCGGGCGAATCCTAATACTTGATTTACAGATGTCCTGCAATTTGGTGTACATGTCTAAAATAAGAAAATTGAGATTTTATTTGAGGGGACCTACAGTCTTTCAATAAGAAGATCTTTAAAAGAATATCTATATCTATATGATTTTTTCTATTTTTAAGTTGATATCTACGCTTCACTTGAAGAAAAAGCTTAAGAAATCGCTATTAGGACGAAGCAAAGCAATAGAGGAAACTCATCTTATCTTCTAAAATATATATGTCATAACAAAAATTTAATTCTTTTTTTTGAATGTTCTTTTAGGTAGTATCTTAGGTGAATCAATGTATGTGCGTACACCCCGTGGCATGATACCGAAACGTTTACTGAGACCAACAGCAGCTGATGGTATATTGCTGACAGACAAAGGATCACGCATTGGTGTTGTATTTATACCCACCGAAAATGATAAAACTAAAGGTGAAATGCACTTTATTATCAATGGGGTGGATCAGGGCCCTTGTACTCGAGACATACCATTGGATAAGGCACCACCGCTGCATGTGGTCATCGATGTGTATGGTACAACAAAACAAATACGTATCATACAGCTGTATGGCAGTAAGTAGTTATTCTTTACTAGATATGTACCAAATAATTCTGATTTCTTTTTTTTTCTTTTTATTTTTTTGCAGTTGTTTCCTTACAAAATGCTTGCCGTGATGCTATTCTATTGAATATGAAACCACAAAATATTGACAAATTACCATTGCCAGAACGTTTGAAGAATTTCCTTAAAGGTCAAGATTAAAGTTTAATATTAGAACATTTACTCAAAAAAAAAAAAAAAAAACTAACACAAAAGCAAACAAATTTGTATTACTAACACAAGCAGAAAACAACAAAAACAATGCAAAATAACTATATTGTTAGAGACAACAAAAAAATCCTTGATGATGATACTGGTGGTATAATATGAAATTATAAATTTCCTTATTATTTGATGAATAAAAAGTTAATCCTTTTTTATATATAAAATCCTATATTGTAATAAGAACAATTTTCCCACTTCCTTTTATTCTATACTTAATACATTCTCAGACTTATTATAATTCGCACAAACAACAATTCTAAATAGAATTACATTAAGTTTAATTTAATATACAAACATACAGCAAGAGCCAAGCATTTGTATAATCACAATTGAAAAATTGTATATAATATTTTATTATTATAATTTTTTTTAGAAATTAAAACAAAATTTCACACGAAAAATGAAATAAAATATCACATGTTTTCTTCCGTTTGAAAATGAAATCTTTATTATAACCTGGCTAGGAATGACTTATGAAGCAAAACAGGATTAAAAACAAAAAGACTCAACATCAGCTATTACAGATACTGAAACAAATTTATATGTAGGAGGCTCTTGTGTCAGAAGAGAATGTTGTACGGTACAATGTGCTTAGCTACCATGGCTTTGGTATTTTTTCTGTTCAAACAAATAATGTAAATGCAGGCATTGCATGTTGCAAAATTCAATTAAGACGGCATTGATTTAATTAGAAATAATTAATACCAGAATAGAAAAAATTACAGTGGAAGCAGACAGCCAGACCATTTGTTTTGTTATAGACCATTAACACCATTACCTTATACCCATACACATATACATGTGCAGTCAACACCATTGAGTGCAGTGTTTACAAAAAAAAACCGAAATCAAATTTGCAAAATAAACAACAAAAAAATAAAATGTTACCTTTATTGATAAGAAATTTATAATGCATAACAAAAGAAAAACAAAAATTACATATTATCCTATTAAAAGTTTATTATTATTGCCAATTATATATATTTATATATTATGAATATATTATTTAGACAATCCTCTTATGTTCTACGTGTATTGTTTAACAATCCATCTTTATTTAAAAATATTTTAAATAAACGTTTTTTCTACGTATTCTTAAGGCCAATTGTACATTCCATTTAAAGTTATTATTTTGTATTGAATATATAATAAAAAAAATACCTGGAAAAATATATGAGTTTTTTCGGAGTTAATGGAATTTGTGCATGTTTTAAAAAACATACATTCCTTGGGTAGGGTAGGGAGAATATTTATGGAACTCATATCAATTTTAAATGCCGTTTGTATAGAGTGAAGGCAAAATGGGCAAAGTAGAAACACTATCGGTCGATTTTACTTTTTTCCTAAAAATTTGAAAAAATGTTGGTAGCCGAGATTAGCGCCATTTTATCTGTATCTTCAGACAAGACTATCTAGCATCCCTATACGAAGGCATAGGAGAATGTTGGCATGGGAGCAACCTTTATTGCTGAAAACTCGATTCAATCCATAATTCCCTGACATGTTTGGCAAATATTGAAAAATGAGCTCGGGGTAAAGCCATTGAAATTCCAAAAAGTGCAAGAACGTACACCGCAACAGAAAGAAAATAGACTCAAAAGAGCTAAAGAGTTGCTTCGCTTTGCCGAAAGTGGTGAACTGCCGAATTTGGTTTTCTCCGAAGAGAAAAAATTCGTAAACAAAGAAAATGGTCGTGTTTACTTGCCAATTAGGTCAGCTGAAAATATGCACCTTCGGTTGGTCAACAGAACTCAAGCGCCGGCCAGGGTGATGGGCTGCCATAAGAGCCGATGATCGCTCGTGGCATCAGAATAAATGCCAAATATTATAGCGAAAATATTCTGGAGGGTGTATTAAAGCCTTGGTCACGCCAACATTTTGGCCGCAGATCTTGGACATTTCAACGGGACTCAGCACAATTGCACTCAGCACTCGCCAACCAAGAATGGTTACAAAAAAATGAGGTTCCTTTCTTCATATCCAGCGCACAATGACCATCAAAATCTCCGGATTCCAATCCGTTGGACTATTGTGTCTGAAGTATTTTGGCAAGCAAGGTTGGCACTAAAGAATACAAAAATATCGATCACCTCAAGCAAGCGCTTCGCCGAGAATGGGCCAAAATACCGCAGTACAACATTCGGGCAGCGTGTGACGGTTTCATTGGTCGTTTGAAGACCACAATTAGTGCCAAAAGTGACTAAGTCGAACAAATCTAAACTTATTCTAAAATTTGATGCTATTTCCGATATTTTTTGCTTTCATTCAATAAAATTTAAAAAAATGTAAAAATTATGGCGTTTGACTTTGTTGTTGTTGTTTTTTATCTCACCCTGTTTATAGCACCCGTAATGTGGAATCATTTCAATTTAAATACTTTCAAGGGATTAACGATTATGCTCGTATTTATGCATTTTGTCCATCAAAAAGAAATATAAAATATTTTCAAACAACACCTAATATCATAATTAGCCTTTGAATTAGAAGTACCTTCAAAATATATAAAAAAACATGTGTACATCAATTATTGTTTTCCAACAATCTACCTATAGTACAATAGGTATTTTTCTATTTATTTCCTTAATTTCACTTAATTATGATTAAAAAAATAAAATCTATTTTATTATTTATAATAAACAAAAACATATGGTTATACTTCTAAAAAGGTGAACGGGGTTCCTCCTACTTTTTATTCTTTTTTAATTTACCCATTTGATTCGATTTTTGTTTGAGTTTATTTTGTTTAATCGGTTTTCCTTCTAGCAATGCAGGTGAGGATGCAATCTCTTCGACATTTTTCGTTGATTTATTTTTCTTTTGAGGAGTAGCAACTTCCAAAGGTTTCTGTTCCTTTTTCTTCTCGGGCTTGACGGTAGCAGGCTGTTCTTGTCTGTTTTCTGGTTTATTCTTTTTTGTTTGTTGTTTTTCTTCCGATTTGTTGTGTTCTTTCTTCTCCTTGGGTTTTTGTTTTTCAATAGGTTGTTGTTTCTTTACCTCAACAGTCGTTTCTGTAGTCTCCTTGGATTTCTGTTTATTTTTCTTTTTATCTTTTTTAATGTTACTTGGTTGTTTCTGCTTCTGCTCGGGTTCTTTCACCTCCTCCTTTTGTCACTAACATTTTTCTTGGTTTTATTTTTGCCCTTATCCTTAATTTCTTCTCCGTTGCTCTTTTTGTTCTCTTCTGCCGGAACTTCCTTTTTCTTTTTGGGTACTTTTACCGGTGGCTCAAATACCTTAGCAATATATTTTTGTTTACTTTGCTCCAATTTTTGTTTTTTAATGGTCAAATCCAATTCACTTAGTACAGGTTTTCCGGCACGTTTGCCCAATTTTTTACCTTTGCCGGATTCCTCATCATTACCCTCTTCATTTTCGGCTTCAGCATTTAGCAGCTCAACATTTTCTTCACTAGTTGTGGCAATGCCATCATCCAATTGTTTCTCATCTTCCTCCTGCTGTTCTTTACTCACCGGTATGGTGTTGGAGAATTTCTTCAATTTTGCCACAAAGAAACCATCCATATTGTGAGTATGGGGGTAATAACGGCGAGTCAAATTCAAAGATGGATGGAATCTATATTGACGATATTTGGTGAAACCTTCAACACCAAAGTCAAGGCCAGTCGGTACCAATTTTACATTACGTTTCTTCAGAACGTAATCTATAACCCATTCGTTTTCTTCAGGCAATACCGAACATGTTGAGTAGACAATGTAACCCCCAGTTGCCGACTTGGCATCGGTACAATCGATGGCAGTAAGCAAGAGTTTACGCTGCAAATTATAACATCTCTGAACATCCACAGGGCATTTGGTGGTCTTAACACTGGGATCCTTGGAAACTACACCGGTACCAGTACAGGGAGCATCCAACAGAATTCTATCAAAACCTGTCATAATTTGTCTGAATTTGGCACCATCTTCACAGGAGACGATCGAATTGACAACACCCAAGCGGTGGAAATTGGCCACAACAGCCTTAATACGATCCTTATTGGCGTCATTGGCAAAGAGCACACCAGTGTTTTTCATTACGGCAGCAATGTGAGAACCTTTGCCTCCTGGGGCAGAGCACATATCCAAAATTCTTTCATTTTCTTGGGGAGCCAAAGCCATGACAGGCAGCATTGAGGAGGCACCTTGAATCATATAATGACCAGCTAAATATTCAGGAGTTGCACCCAAAGGCACTTGGGAACTGTAAATAACCAAACCAACTTTAGTCCATTTCCCCAAAGGATCCAAATTAACACCTCTATTAATTAAAGCGGCAGCTAGATCCCTTCTTCTGGTCTTCAGAGTATTGGTACGTATTGTCAACGGTCTAGCCACTTCGGAAGCTTCTAAATATTCCATAAGTTCACTCAAAGGGAACATGTCCATCAATTTGCCCATAAGGAATTCATTGTAGCTGTAGTATACGCACAAGTCTTTGCGCAACAGGTCCATGTAATCACTTCGGGGCCTGTCGGGTTGACGATATTTGTTGAAATCGGACAATACCAACGTGACATCCTTAATACGCTGTTGAATCTCTTGTAGAGTGATTTCTTTCTCCTCATCTTCTTCGGGGAATTGGAATATTTCTTGTTGGTCTACGGACATTTGCATTTCTTCTGCAGCCAATTTGGCTTCCTTAGCTTCACGTTTCTTCAATTTCTTATTTTCCTTTTCAATGGGTAATAGATCATCGTCATCATCATCGTCGTCATCTTCATCATCATCCTCATCGTCGTCATTTTCATCACCAGAAACATCAAAATCATCATCAGAGTTCGCATCATCGTCTGATAGGTCATCCAACTTTCCCAATTTAACCTCAGCTTCATCATCAGATTCCTCCTCTTCACCTTCTTCGTCATCGTCCTCGTCATCTTCATCCTCAATTTCTTCATCATCATCGCTAGCTTCTACTTCTTCTTCGTCATCACTACCTTCCTTAACTTCTTGTTCTTCTTCATCACTTTCCTCTTCCTCCTCATCTTCTTCAGCTTCTTTTTCAAGAAATTGTTTGCCGGCCTTCTTTTGCTTTGGCTTTAACCATTCCTTGTTTTCATCGGTAAAGCCTTTGACTTTCTTCTGTTGACCTTTGCTATTCTTTGCCACCACCTTTTTTGGTTGCTCTTCTTCCTCCGATTCCATCTCACTGTCATCTTCAACATGGCCATTACCATTTAGATTTTCCTTCTCCTCTTCTTCCTCACTATCACTGTGATATTCTTTCTGTTTTCTTTGCTGGAATTTCTTTTCTTTGGCCAATTTTTGTTTCTCTTTAATTATTTGTTTATTTTTCTGTCTTTTGGCTAAGCGCTGCTTTTGACGATGAGACAACTTTTTGTCCTCTTCCTCCATGGGAGCTATAGGGAAGAATTTGAGAATTTTAGAAATGTGACCAACAACTGTTGAGCTGTATGTGGTACTTACCAAACGATTTTTTGGGGAATGTGGGTGGTCCCTGTTTGCGGGCCTTACGGCCGGGTCCCTTTTTCACTTTCTCACTATATTCTGCTTTACGACCCATTGTTATTTGTGGGCTTTGCAATTATTTTCTTTAATAAAACACAATTGGAAATGTCGGAAAATTAAAAGTTTCGAAGCGTGGTAAAAAATGCACGTGGAGCAGAGAGAGAGCAAATATCAAATGAAAACAACAGCGAGCTAATGTCAAATTGACATTCTGATTGTTTTAAGTCGTGGCTGTGCTAAATGTAAGCGTGAAGCGTCAAACTAACGGATCCCATGGAAAAAATTGGAACTCGTGCAATTTAGAGTAATGATTTCACGACATGCATCAATGCACATTTAAACCAAAACAAGATTGAGTTATTGTCATGGGTAATGAACTGTTAAACCAATTTGGAAATTAAAAATTGTGAACGAAAATTTATTAAAATTCGTCAAAGTTGTTGAGAAATGATCGTGTTTACTTGCCAATTAGGTCAGCTGAAAATATGCACCTTCGGTTGGTCAACAGAACTCAAGCGCCGGCCAGGGTGATGGGCTGCCATAAGAGCCGATGATCGCTCGTGGCATCAGAATAAATGCCAAATATTATAGCGAAAATATTCTGGAGGGTGTATTAAAGCCTTGGTCACGCCAACATTTTGGCCGCAGATCTTGGACATTTCAACGGGACTCAGCACAATTGCACTCAGCACTCGCCAACCAAGAATGGTTACAAAAAAATGAGGTTCCTTTCTTCATATCCAGCGCACAATGACCATCAAAATCTCCGGATTCCAATCCGTTGGACTATTGTGTCTGAAGTATTTTGGCAAGCAAGGTTGGCACTAAAGAATACAAAAATATCGATCACCTCAAGCAAGCGCTTCGCCGAGAATGGGCCAAAATACCGCAGTACAACATTCGGGCAGCGTGTGACGGTTTCATTGGTCGTTTGAAGACCACAATTAGTGCCAAAAGTGACTAAGTCGAACAAATCTAAACTTATTCTAAAATTTGATGCTATTTCCGATATTTTTTGCTTTCATTCAATAAAATTTAAAAAAATGTAAAAATTATGGCGTTTGACTTTGTTGTTGTTGTTTTTTATCTCACCCTGTTTATAGCACCCGTAATGTGGAATCATTTCAATTTAAATACTTTCAAGGGATTAACGATTATGCTCGTATTTATGCATTTTGTCCATCAAAAAGAAATATAAAATATTTTCAAACAACACCTAATATCATAATTAGCCTTTGAATTAGAAGTACCTTCAAAATATATAAAAAAACATGTGTACATCAATTATTGTTTTCCAACAATCTACCTATAGTACAATAGGTATTTTTCTATTTATTTCCTTAATTTCACTTAATTATGATTAAAAAAATAAAATCTATTTTATTATTTATAATAAACAAAAACATATGGTTATACTTCTAAAAAGGTGAACGGGGTTCCTCCTACTTTTTATTCTTTTTTAATTTACCCATTTGATTCGATTTTTGTTTGAGTTTATTTTGTTTAATCGGTTTTCCTTCTAGCAATGCAGGTGAGGATGCAATCTCTTCGACATTTTTCGTTGATTTATTTTTCTTTTGAGGAGTAGCAACTTCCAAAGGTTTCTGTTCCTTTTTCTTCTCGGGCTTGACGGTAGCAGGCTGTTCTTGTCTGTTTTCTGGTTTATTCTTTTTTGTTTGTTGTTTTTCTTCCGATTTGTTGTGTTCTTTCTTCTCCTTGGGTTTTTGTTTTTCAATAGGTTGTTGTTTCTTTACCTCAACAGTCGTTTCTGTAGTCTCCTTGGATTTCTGTTTATTTTTCTTTTTATCTTTTTTAATGTTACTTGGTTGTTTCTGCTTCTGCTCGGGTTCTTTCACCTCCTCCTTTTTGTCACTAACATTTTTCTTGGTTTTATTTTTGCCCTTATCCTTAATTTCTTCTCCGTTGCTCTTTTTGTTCTCTTCTGCCGGAACTTCCTTTTTCTTTTTGGGTACTTTTACCGGTGGCTCAAATACCTTAGCAATATATTTTTGTTTACTTTGCTCCAATTTTTGTTTTTTAATGGTCAAATCCAATTCACTTAGTACAGGTTTTCCGGCACGTTTGCCCAATTTTTTACCTTTGCCGGATTCCTCATCATTACCCTCTTCATTTTCGGCTTCAGCATTTAGCAGCTCAACATTTTCTTCACTAGTTGTGGCAATGCCATCATCCAATTGTTTCTCATCTTCCTCCTGCTGTTCTTTACTCACCGGTATGGTGTTGGAGAATTTCTTCAATTTTGCCACAAAGAAACCATCCATATTGTGAGTATGGGGGTAATAACGGCGAGTCAAATTCAAAGATGGATGGAATCTATATTGACGATATTTGGTGAAACCTTCAACACCAAAGTCAAGGCCAGTCGGTACCAATTTTACATTACGTTTCTTCAGAACGTAATCTATAACCCATTCGTTTTCTTCAGGCAATACCGAACATGTTGAGTAGACAATGTAACCCCCAGTTGCCGACTTGGCATCGGTACAATCGATGGCAGTAAGCAAGAGTTTACGCTGCAAATTATAACATCTCTGAACATCCACAGGGCATTTGGTGGTCTTAACACTGGGATCCTTGGAAACTACACCGGTACCAGTACAGGGAGCATCCAACAGAATTCTATCAAAACCTGTCATAATTTGTCTGAATTTGGCACCATCTTCACAGGAGACGATCGAATTGACAACACCCAAGCGGTGGAAATTGGCCACAACAGCCTTAATACGATCCTTATTGGCGTCATTGGCAAAGAGCACACCAGTGTTTTTCATTACGGCAGCAATGTGAGAACCTTTGCCTCCTGGGGCAGAGCACATATCCAAAATTCTTTCATTTTCTTGGGGAGCCAAAGCCATGACAGGCAGCATTGAGGAGGCACCTTGAATCATATAATGACCAGCTAAATATTCAGGAGTTGCACCCAAAGGCACTTGGGAACTGTAAATAACCAAACCAACTTTAGTCCATTTCCCCAAAGGATCCAAATTAACACCTCTATTAATTAAAGCGGCAGCTAGATCCCTTCTTCTGGTCTTCAGAGTATTGGTACGTATTGTCAACGGTCTAGCCACTTCGGAAGCTTCTAAATATTCCATAAGTTCACTCAAAGGGAACATGTCCATCAATTTGCCCATAAGGAATTCATTGTAGCTGTAGTATACGCACAAGTCTTTGCGCAACAGGTCCATGTAATCACTTCGGGGCCTGTCGGGTTGACGATATTTGTTGAAATCGGACAATACCAACGTGACATCCTTAATACGCTGTTGAATCTCTTGTAGAGTGATTTCTTTCTCCTCATCTTCTTCGGGGAATTGGAATATTTCTTGTTGGTCTACGGACATTTGCATTTCTTCTGCAGCCAATTTGGCTTCCTTAGCTTCACGTTTCTTCAATTTCTTATTTTCCTTTTCAATGGGTAATAGATCATCGTCATCATCATCGTCGTCATCTTCATCATCATCCTCATCGTCGTCATTTTCATCACCAGAAACATCAAAATCATCATCAGAGTTCGCATCATCGTCTGATAGGTCATCCAACTTTCCCAATTTAACCTCAGCTTCATCATCAGATTCCTCCTCTTCACCTTCTTCGTCATCGTCCTCGTCATCTTCATCCTCAATTTCTTCATCATCATCGCTAGCTTCTACTTCTTCTTCGTCATCACTACCTTCCTTAACTTCTTGTTCTTCTTCATCACTTTCCTCTTCCTCCTCATCTTCTTCAGCTTCTTTTTCAAGAAATTGTTTGCCGGCCTTCTTTTGCTTTGGCTTTAACCATTCCTTGTTTTCATCGGTAAAGCCTTTGACTTTCTTCTGTTGACCTTTGCTATTCTTTGCCACCACCTTTTTTGGTTGCTCTTCTTCCTCCGATTCCATCTCACTGTCATCTTCAACATGGCCATTACCATTTAGATTTTCCTTCTCCTCTTCTTCCTCACTATCACTGTGATATTCTTTCTGTTTTCTTTGCTGGAATTTCTTTTCTTTGGCCAATTTTTGTTTCTCTTTAATTATTTGTTTATTTTTCTGTCTTTTGGCTAAGCGCTGCTTTTGACGATGAGACAACTTTTTGTCCTCTTCCTCCATGGGAGCTATAGGGAAGAATTTGAGAATTTTAGAAATGTGACCAACAACTGTTGAGCTGTATGTGGTACTTACCAAACGATTTTTTGGGGAATGTGGGTGGTCCCTGTTTGCGGGCCTTACGGCCGGGTCCCTTTTTCACTTTCTCACTATATTCTGCTTTACGACCCATTGTTATTTGTGGGCTTTGCAATTATTTTCTTTAATAAAACACAATTGGAAATGTCGGAAAATTAAAAGTTTCGAAGCGTGGTAAAAAATGCACGTGGAGCAGAGAGAGAGCAAATATCAAATGAAAACAACAGCGAGCTAATGTCAAATTGACATTCTGATTGTTTTAAGTCGTGGCTGTGCTAAATGTAAGCGTGAAGCGTCAAACTAACGGATCCCATGGAAAAAATTGGAACTCGTGCAATTTAGAGTAATGATTTCACGACATGCATCAATGCACATTTAAACCAAAACAAGATTGAGTTATTGTCATGGGTAATGAACTGTTAAACCAATTTGGAAATTAAAAATTGTGAACGAAAATTTATTAAAATTCGTCAAAGTTGTTGAGAAATGCATATCAAACAAATGGCGTAATATAAAAAAAAAACATATAAAAATCTACTTATTTTTAAATATACATTAAAAGGATTTTGACATAACGATGTTCTCCAGCGTTGATGCAAAGACTTCAAAGAAAGTAGAAAAATGCATCTCTGTGCTGGAGTCTTATAGTTTTCAATAGACTTTTATAAAATTGTATTCAAGGAGTAGTTTTACCTTTTGTAATAGTACCATGGATGCATCTACCTGCATTCTTCTACCATGTTTATTGTGTTCTCTTATTGTATGTTTAGGTTGGATCTTTTTGCCGAATTAACCTTCTTTATGAAGATTAATTTGACGCATACGAAATGGTATTGATACGTACTACCATGGTACAATCAGGAGGTAGAACAGCTTCGTAAAACTACAGAAATACAGCACTGAGGCTATGCCCGCTTCTTGTCAGAATTTTTCAAAATTATATCCAACAAGTTGTATTCATTTATTTGATATTTTTTGTTAATTTTTAAATTGAGTCAAATATCGCGAAAGATGAATGAAATGTCTGAATGTTCTCTCAAATATATGATCCTAAGTGTTCAATTTTTCAATTCCGTGGCAAATATGGTTAATATCATTAATGCGCGCCCCTCAATTTAAGTCTCTTCCAATCATTGATTTTGAAAATAATTTGTTTTCATTTTTCAAAACAATAATGCATACACAAAATTGGCATAAGTCGGGCACACTCAGAAAAAATTGTAATCAGCTGGTAGCTCTACCTTACCTTTTTATTGTACTATGCGTACTACTACTTTTTAAAAAACTAGTAAATGAGAGAAATTTTACATTCGCTCTGAGCGAACTGCTCTGCCTAGAAATTAAAGGAACGGAAAATTAGTAAAAATGTCAAAATTATTAGCAATTCATCAAAATCAAAATTTCAGCCAATCAAAAGCTGGCAACTTTGCTGCTATTCTTACTCGGCCATATTAGTCTAGTAAAATCTGCAAAATGGAACGACATATATTGCTGTTTGCCCGTAAGTTTTTCTAGGTTTTCGTTTACGGGACTAAAAATTTGTTAAGCAAGTATAATAAAATATTTGCTCCGTTACAGAACCAGCAAAAATCTAAGGTTGGAAATACATAAAGCGCTTATCTGGCTGGCTTAAGTCATCGGCTGGCTTCTTCGGAAATGAACAAAGGAGCCTTGGGCCAAAATCGAACTAAGTCAACCTAAAACTCCTATGTTCATCTACGAAGAAGCCAGCCGATGACTTAAGCCAGCCAAATACGCTCTATGTATTTCCACCCCAATACTTTTAAAATTGTCTTTAGATACCATAGAAATCGGAAAAATCGGTTATTGTAATAGAATTTTTTTGTTGCAAAATAAATGAAAATTTTCGACGTAAATGGGTAACAAATTGTACAATCTTGTGATAAAAATGTATTTTCCTACTATTTTAGATTCAATCTAGTGAAATAACCCCAAAATTCCCCATAAGAATTAGAAAAAATATAAAAACAAATAAAGCCTAGTTGACACTACAAGACTCCAAGACAGAGTCGCATTTTTATAGTTTCTTTGAAGTTGAGCAGCTTTCTTATTGATCCATGATTTCAGTCACGGTACAATGAAATCAGGGTAGGCCTATGATACCATATGATTTAAATTTTTTTTATTTTCTTCTCTTAATATGTCAACTTAATTTGTTTGTGTATTTTGATGGTAAAATTAAGAAGGTAAAACCAATTCAAATAAGTATTCCAATCTTTGCATTTTCTGTAATTTACCTCATCAATGATTGCAAGTTCTGTAACAAAAAACGTTTTGCTTCATTGTGGAAATTATAAATTGCTTCTTCTTGCTTTTTTAACACCTAAGTGGATGGATAGCCCTTAAAAACGACCGGGATCCCATTTTGATCTGCCCAGCCCTATAAATTGTAGCTTTTGTTTTGCTTTTCGTCTTCATCGTATAGTTCGCTTTAGTATATCGTTCTCAATAGGATAACGGCGATGATTCCAACCAGTAGCTTTGGAAACCTCGTTCATCTCTCTGTGTGTTTCTATTGATTTTTTAAACAAAAATATCTGTGAAAATATGATTTAATTATCCCGTCTTTAGTTACTAACAAATCGAGTAAACTATTAGTTTATTAGCTATTGTAAATGAATAGTGTGAGAATGGAACTGATATCGTTCGATTTAAGTGTTGAAGCTTTGATTGGTTCTCTGTTTGCCCTGTTTGCATTGGGTGCATTTTGCCGTAGTCTGTTGATTGAAGATGTTATATGCATTCCTGGCAAAAGTAAACATGGATGGAAGTCGATTAAAATACTCGATCGGGTATGTGTAACTAAATGAGAAGTACCCACTATATATTATTTAAAATATCATTTTGTTTTAACTAGCAGGGAATTGTAATTGTTTATATTCGTCATAACTACGTGTCCCATGTGCATTAATGGTTAGTACGTGGTATGATTAAGAACATGCCACTGAGACACCTGATGTCAGCATAGCATGACATAGGATTATAACAATCTAGTTCCCTTGACATTTCACTTTTTGAGTTTTTTAAATCGATGTTTATAGAATTTGTAGGTATTTGATATATTAGGATCCTCATAAACATAATGTAGGATTATTTCATGCAACGTTCGGCGCCATCAAGACTTCTTTACCTGTAAATCGTATCACTAATCATGCTATTTTTGTTTTTTGTCTTCATTTTCATTTCAGGCCTGTTATTGCAATGTTTGTGAGATACTCTTAACCCCATCGGCTGGGGTATTTTGTGACTGTTGTGGCATTTGCTCGCACGCCTCCCGCCCTTGCACACGCAAAGCCGATAAGCTTTTCAAATGCAAAGAAAAGTGGATACATAATGAGAAGACTATGCGTCATCTGTGGGTCAAAGGTAATCTGCCTTTGAGCGCTGTATGCGACGAGTGTGGCGAAGATGTTGAAGAAGTTGGCCTAAGCGGTTGGCGTTGTGCCTGGTGCCAAAGATGCTATCACACTAGCTGTTACAAACGTATCGATCCGAAGGGAGAATGTGATTTGGGAGAGTTCAGTGATATGATCTTCCCGCCGTATACAATTGTGGCGGCCAGAACGAGAGAGTCTGTACGTTTACATTTGGCTGGTATTAATCCACCGGATATTGAAAATTGGGAGCCTTTGATTGTTATAGCCAATACCAAGTCGGGTAGTAGTACAGGCTCTGATGTTGTGTCCCTTTTGCGTGGTTATTTACATCCTCTACAAGTAATGGAACTAGGATCGAGAGGGCCACAAGACGCCATGCAATGGGCAGCTAAAGCAAGTCCGAGGCCATGTCGTATTCTGGTAGCTGGTGGTGATGGAACTGTCGGTTGGGTATTGAATACCATGTATACATTAAATATTAAGGTGAGTAGCAATATAAAACAAACAAAGATTTGCAATCAATTGAAAACCAAAAACAAAATATCTTCCAGGTATTTTGTCTGTAAAAGATTTCTAGGATGCGGTCCTTAAAAAAATATATGTTTAAACAAATATATATTTAGCATTAAATTAACTCTATCTCTATTTAGAATTAAATTATCTGGGAATCTTCAACCCAGATCTATCTTTACAAGACCTTTAAAAGATTTTCCACAAGACCTACAGAAAGTGTTATAAATAGAAGTCTTTGGAAGGGTCTTCTATACATTGAAAACGATTAGAAGTTATTTTATCTACAGAAAATACGTAGAAATGTTATATGCATAAAAAACTGTGTAAGGGCCTTTAAAAGTAGAAGGTCTTTTTAATAAAAATATCTCTTGTTGGTCATTCGCCCATTGAAGACTACAAAAGTTCTTATTCAACAACGGGTGACGTATTTAACATTTCACTTTTTTATATCATTACATACAGCCCCTTCCTGCAGTGTCCATTATGCCACTGGGAACTGGTAATGACTTATCACGAGTTTTGGGATGGGGTGCTGAACCACCATCCACTTTGGATCCCTTGAAGATATTAAGAGATGTGAGTATGCAACAAAAATAGTATCCCACCTTAATCTCTCCATCTAAAACATAATATCTATTCCATAGATCAAAAGGGCCCGTTCCATAAATCTGGATCGATTTTCGTTGCAAATTGAAAAGAGTCATTATCGTCTGCCAATACAAAGACATCCCATGAAAACCATAAATGTTTACAACTATTTAAGTCTAGGCGTTGATGCCTTGGTAACCTATAACTTCCATAAAACAAGAGAATCCAAATTCTATGTTTTAAGTAGTCGCATTTTTAACAAAGTAAGTTGGATTGTGATGCACTTAATTGAAATTATGATACTCAATCGTGTTAATTTTTAGTTGATTTATTTTGGTTTTGGTACCCAACAAATTGTCCAGCGAGATTGTGAGGGCTTGGAAAAGATGCTCGATTTATTTTTGGATAATCGTTTGGTCGAGCTGCCTGAATTACAGTCCATTGTGTTTCTCAATATTGATTCCTGGGGAGCTGGTTGTAAGCTTTGTGGTAAGCAAAAGTTAAATGACTTGTGTTTAAGATATCAGTTTTTGATATAATATTCTCTATTTTAGAATTATGCAACAATGATGATTATGCACCCAAAATCAACAATTCCATTTGCGATGGCGCCATGGAAGTTTTTGGCATTGTCTCCTCATTTCACATAGCCCAATTGCAATGTGGTGTCAGCAAACCTGTAAGAATAGGACAGGCACGACATATTAAGGTAATTATATTTCTAATTACATTTATCATATTTAAAACAATTACCGTATTGTATTTTCCTAGATTGTCCTGAAAAGTGTTTGTGCCATGCAAGCCGATGGCGAGCCATGGATGCAACAGCCCGCTGAATTACATATTTCCTCACGTGGCCAAGTACGCATGTTGAAAAAACAGTCTTGAAGTGATTTTCAAAAGCATTTCTCTTCGAAACATCCTTCCCACCACCCACAACTTCATGAGGCCTGCATTACATTGTTTGTGAACAAAATGGCCTTGGATTATTTACTGCATATAACTACTATAACATAAGCATTTTTTTCTATTTATAATCTTCTAGAATCTATTTCTCTTATTCTCAAATACTTAATACTACAGGTACAGGTTTTTTTGTACTTAATTTTTAGCCCCAAACGATTTAGTTAGCTTTTTTATTTATTTCTCCCAAAAAATACAGGACTATATTGTTGATTTAATATTATGTTTTCTTGTACACAAATGTTTTAACCCTTAACTATTGTATTATTTTTTATACATTTACATAACTACTAAGAGTATTTATTAACTCCTTAACCCGAATTTCCTTTTTATGAATCAGAATCTCTCGGCATCACAATTAATTTATTTATAATTTAGTCTTAATCCAATTTTGGAACTCTGTTATCTACAAACAAATTCATTTTGGGGTTTAAACTAATAAAGAGAAGGTCCAATATTATTGTAGTCAAAAAATACCAAATGAGGGTCACTTTTTGTAGATAACAAAGATTCAATGTTTAAATTATTTTTTTATAATTTGTAGTTAGGAATGGTTGTTAGTTTTTAAGCAAATAACAAATATTTATTAAATTGTTGGTGCATATATAACAAATAAAATGTTGATCATGAAAATACTTCGTCTGTCAATTCTATAAAAAATGGGGGAATTTTTCTATGAAACTAAGTCTTTTCAAAATGCTTTTTTTTTAGAAAATATGTCTTATTAAAGGCAGAGGTTTTCTATCCACCAAAAATACCTATCGCTACAATATGTATATAGAATACCTATGGAAGGATCTTCTATCTTCAAATTTCTATTAAAAAAGTCTTATATTCATAAATGTCTAATTGGATTTTGGATGTCTGAAGATTTTCCATCAGCAAAATTTCAATAAATGTCTACAATCAAGTGGCCTTGTCTCCAGAGAATTTTACTTCTCCATATAAGACTACTCAGAAGGTCTTTCACCTTATGAGTAGTTTTATATAGCCCTCTTAGCTATAAAAGATTTATGCAAGGTCTTCCTCCCTAATCAAGAGGCCTACTCTCCAGAGAATTTTACTTCCCCATATAAGACTACTAGAAGGTCATTTATCTTATGAGAAGTTTTATATACAGGGTGAGATGAAAAACTGCAACCAACTTCAACTCGTCCGACAGCTGTTAAAATTATTCCAGTGACAGCTCATTATACTGTTTACAAGCGTACAAGCGCATTTTGGTGAGAATTTTCCACAAAACAAGTTATTCGGTTATTCGTGATGGAATTCAAGCGTGATAGTGTGATTTCTTTATATTTGGCTGGGAAACCCCAAGTGGCTATCGTTAGAGCACTCCAGCATAAATGTGAATAAATCTTTTGTGTCTCGTACCATCGCTCGTTACCGCGATAATGGTAGCGTAGCGAGGCGTCAAGGAAGTGGACGGAAGAAAACAGCAACATCAGCAGAAATGGTTCGAAAAGTAAAGAAGCGACAAGTAAAAAAGATGTAAGTTCGGCCGAGCCGTACTTTTAATACCCTCCACCATTTGGTAATTTTCAAAAAAATAAAAATCTTAAAAATACCGAAAACCTATACGACGACGCATAGGCATCTTTTGTTCGTCTGTCGGTCTGTTGAAATCACGATATAGTCCACATTATTTGACGTAGAGCGCCAAAATTTAGCAGAGCAATTTGTATTGTGTCTAGGATGGTTGGTATTGAAAATGAGATATATCGGTTCACGTTTTGGTATAGTCCCCATATAACGGTTCCTCCCGATATTCGGTATTTTGATGATTTATGCCACATTTTCTCACGGATTTGTCTGAAAATTGGTATTTGTAGGTCATAACGGGTCCCAGTTCGTGTGGCGAGACATTGCATGTACAGGTCCACGCTTTGCTATAGCCCCCATATAAAGGTACCTCCCGATATTCGGTATTTTGATGATTTTTGACACATTTTTTCACGAATTTCTCTAAAAATTGGTAGTTGTAGGTCATAATGGGTCCCAGTTCGTGTGGCGAATCATTGTAATTATAGGTCCACGTTTTCGTATAGTCCCCATATAACGGTACCTCCCGATATTCGATATTTTAATGGCTTTTGCCACATTTCTTCGCGGATTTGACTAGAAATTGGTATTTGTTGGTCTTAATGGGTTTTAGCTCTTTTGGCGAAACACTGTATGTATTGGTCCAGGTTTTTGTATAGCCTCATATAGTCGTATTTCCCGATATTCAGAATTTTGATGATTTTTGGCACATTTTTCCATGAATATGTCTAAAAATTGGTATATGTGGGCCATAATGGGCTCTAATGTTTCCTTTACCCTAAGGCGGAGAATATAAAAACTTTGGCCCGGCCGAACTTAATGTTTTTTATTTGTTTTCATTTCGCCCTGTATACCTCTGAGTTATAAAAGATCTGTGCAAGGTCTTCCTCTCTAATGGTCGTATTTCTAAATAGGCCTACCAAAAGAGCGTCTATCTAGAAAAATACTGAAAAAAATTAGTAGACCTTTGTAAGACTTGCTGTTTAAACTCCTCAATACATTTCCTATCTGTAGAAAGAAATGTGCTTTATCCAATTACTACTACTCTAATGCTTTACAGCTCTCGTCAAACGGCATCTCACTATTGACTACAATATATTTCTACTAAAGACTTCTTATACAATGGTCGTCCCGTAGACATTTGAAACGCTTCTAAATCGAGTTATTTTTATTAAGTATTGTGTTCTATTTATAGAAGTTTTTCAAATCTACCCTTCTGTGGCAACTTCTCTTTTTTTCGTGCTCGTATTTTGATCTTTTCAAAAATCGCCTTATATGGTGAGATTCTACATATGAGTCACGTAGACTATCATCACATGCTCACTTTTTGTATGTAGCACCTGCCAAGGCCCATGTCCAGTTCTATTTTTAATCTCTTTCCATTCCCGCTAATTGAAAATCATTTGAATTGGTATTTTGTATTGTTTTGAATTTTTTCATTTTTTTATTATTAATAAAAAATAACATAAAATTTCCTTTCTTTTAGCTTATCTTTCAAATTTTACACAAATTTGTAAAATCCTAGATTTCAAATACAAAAACCAAATACCAAAAAAAGTTTTGTTGTCGGTGTGTGTGTGTGTGGTGTTTACTTCTTGAGGCTTTCTATATGTCAACAAACCCACAATGTTGGTTGCTACACCACAACTCTAATAAGGAAAAAATTAACCTTAATCAAGGTTGCTTTTATTTTTTTAATTTAACAAATCAACGATAATTGTGGTTGTTGTTTATCATACGAATATGCTAAATTAACGCGAACGAACGAAGAAGTCTGAATAAAATATTTTGTAAATGTAATTTACTTGTTTTGTTGTTGTTGTTGTTGCAATAGTTAATAGTAATAAATGTGATCAACTTGTGGTTGTTGTTGTAGTTGTTTTGCTGAGGCGGGTATGAAACTTAAAATGCAGGCCATGAATCTCTACCATTGGGAAATGGGGCGAGTCGATTCATGTGGACACAATTTAAAGCATCGTCAGCTCCATAATAGCATTGACTATATCATTGTTATTATTCTTGAGAGCCTTAATAGCCTTGGCGCGGGTAGTATTGGCTTGATTGATAACCAACTCAATATCCTTCTCATCAACGCCAGTCTCATCGACTTCTTCTTCGTCTTCTTCGGCAATGGGTGCAACCGAGGAGGTGGCAATGGTTTCAGCAGCGCTAGCCCCTTCGGGAGCCTTGAATTTCTCGGCAGCAGCAACTTGGGCTTGTTGGGACAAATCTTCAATCTTGGCTTCACCGAAGACAATGTAGGTATCACTGTGGGGGTTCTTGTATACATCGGGGTTGTTGATGACGAACAAGATGTTCTTGGATTTGCGGATGGTGACACGATTAACACCTTGGATTTGTTTCAAGCCCAATTTCAACATGATTTTGCGGGCCTTCTTTTCGCCACGAGATTGCTTGGCCTTGGAGACCAAGTCAATGGGCAAGCCTGTGGCACCACCGCCCAATTGGGTGGCTCCAGCACCGGCATCTTCCAACTCGGGAATGGTGTCCTCAGAGTCGCTGTCACTGCCATCATCTTCTACACGGACATCCTGAACGGGTTTGGCTTCAGCAGCTGGAGCAGTAGAGGTAGTGGGGGCATCAGACTTGATTTCAGTAAGTTCTGGCATTTTTAGGCTGGACTATGAAAATAAAAACAAAACAAAAACAGCCAATTAATATAAAGCCATTAGTTTTTCCTAAATTCTCTGCACATTTCACTGCCGTAACCAGTTTAATATTCAACCGGCATTTAACCCCTAGCACTACACATGATTGGATTGTTCACTTTTTTTTGCATTTCTATTGACGGTTGGGGGTCAAAATTCAACTTTGTTATCCCATTGTCTAGACGAGTTGTTTCCAACTTTTACATATCAATTTTTAGGCAATTTTCTTTTCCTCTGGCTTTTCTTTAATTTTATGTTAAATTTTTCACATTTTCTTAATAGATGTTTTAGAAAATCGTCGATTTTTTACCTGCGAAAAAAATTCACCCTGCGCGAAGAATTCACAAATTTGACAAAAAGAATTTTATTATTGTTAGGTTGGCAGACCTGCTTTTCCATTTAAGTTGTCAAACCGAAGCGACATCTGGTTGTGAGTCTGTGAAGATATGTAACAGTGCTGTATTTGCTAATGGCTTAACCCTTTGAAGAACATAATGTTTTAAAAATAACGGAAATAAAAATGTTGATGATTTTTTAAGGTCCCATCCATGGTAGATGAATATAGGTAGATGCATGGTACAATGATATCAAGATAGGGCTATGATACCATATGATTTAATTTTTTTTTTTTATTTTCTTGGCTTAATATGTCATCTTTATTTGTTTATGTATGTGTTTTCTTTTCAATAACAAAAAAAATTGTTCAGAAAACATTCAAAATCTGGTGTTTTCAAAAAGTTTAGTTCAAAGTATGCATCGACAAAATCTAGAGTTTTTGCAGCGAAATAATCCTTTAGAGATATATAGTACATGATTTTGAAAAGAATTGTTTACCTTTCATTAAGTTATCGCGGTTTTCAATTATTTATTCAAAAAAAAAAAAAAATGCAACAAGTTGTTTGATTTTTTATTGTTTTGGTACTAATTCTGACATTAAAAGCCAAACAGGTAGACCTCTATACATGCAATTTTTTCAAAGTTGGCCTACCTCTTCTTCATTGTATCATAGATGCATCAACGCTTGGGAACATTTATATGTCAAAATTTTTTAAGTGCTTTGTCAAAAATAAGTCGATTTTTATATGATTTCTTATACGACTCAAATCGGAGGTTGTAATGATATGCATTATTCGACAATTTTTACAAATTTCAATAATTTTTCATTCACGATTTTCAATATCAAAATCGGTTTGACAGTTCATTGTCCCAACAGCTGTGTCGATGCGACTACCTGTATTCTTCTACCATAGTCCCATCACTTTAAATCTTGCCGTACAGCTGATTAACCTCCTCTTGTATGTGTGATCTTGAACAGTTTATGCCAAAGCCTCCAATTCATATTTTAAAAATTTAAATTTTTCATCGTTCATTAAAATATGTTTTAATTTCTATTTACATTCAAAATTTGGTTGTTGACAACTCTAAAAATGAACTCCATTCATTAGATTGAAAGGGTTTCTTTGTCAACATAAAAATTATTTTCATTTTCATCAATCCAAACACTCACACGCATGGTATAATAAATGAAAGGTAGGGCAGAATGAATAAATTGAAAAACACAGCCCTGAAGCTAGAGTCTTGGAATATCAAATTTACCAATAACAAGTAAAAAAGCAATAAGTTCGGCCGGGCCGAACCAAGATAGTAGGGCAAGATAGTTTTATACCAAAATGATCCATATTGTTGCCCGTTTACGTGTAAAATCGCATTTCTGTTGTCTCTAAATTTTAAGTTATTTCAAATTATTTTCATTTTTATTCTAACAATACACGCACATATTTACAAACTATGTACATATTTTGACAGAATAGGGTGGTAGCTTTGTTCTATCTTCTGCACTTATGCCATGGAACGTATATGTTTTTATGTGTAAAGGAATGCCGAAAATAAAAGAACATTTATTATTTTTGTAAAATCTGCCACTCGTCATACGAAAATATTTTATATATGAAAATAGATTTCATTCCAAAAGTGACAACGTCGAGTTCGTCAGAAAAAAATTGCCATATTGAATTTAGCAAATGAGTTCACCTTTATTGTTTTCACATGAGATTACCATTAAAAAAGTTCGAAAACATATTGTAAGCATGGACAAATTAAGACGGTAAAATTGTGCTCTCATCTGTCCAAATTTTTTTCGAAAGTATAAGTTTGACAACTCCCCTTTGCCAAAATCTATATTCAACAAATAAAAATCCCTCTAATTTTGGCGAATTTTTAATACAGTCCACTATTTTGAAGAAGCTTGAAATTAAAAAAAAAAAGCTATAAAAATGCCTCTAAAATGAACCCCCTCGCATGGGGACTAACGGAGACGTGTTCCTTCATAGGCTGTATTAACGATTCCGAACTACAAATACAAAATTTGAAACAATTCCGGTGAATAATGTCGCAAAAATCATAAAAATACCGAGGTAACGTTAAATGGGGGCTATATGAAAACGTGGACCGATATGACCGACTAACCTGCCTACTGGCAAAATACACATGTGTGCAAAATGTTAGCCTTCTATCTAAATTGGTTCGAAAGATAGCATGATTACAACATACGGCATCGCTAAATCGACTTAGAACTTTACGCTGATCAATAATATATACTTTGTTGGGTCTGACATGAGTATTTCGGGAAGTTACAAACGGAATGGCAAAGTTAAAATACCCTCCATAAGAATGGTGGAGGGTATAACAATATACACAAACCCTTGTTTTTTTATACCTCCACCATACATAGTATAGGGGGTATATTAGTTTGTCATTCCGTTTGTAACACATCGAAATAAAAATTTTGATCGGCGTAAAATTAGTAGATTTGGCGATGTTCGGTACTTATAGCCACATTTTCAATGGAATTGTCTGAAATTTAAATGTGAATAAATCAGTCGTGTCTCGTACCATTGCTCGTTACCGTGATGCTGATAGCGTAGCCCGACGTCAAGGAAGTGGACGGAAGAAAACAGCAACATCAGCAGAAATGGTTTGAAAAGTAAAGAAGCGACTTGATCGAAACTCGCGTCGCAGTGGCCGAAAATGGCTTGTGAGCTGACCATATCGCAATATTCCATTCGGCAAATATTGAAAAATGAGCTCGGGGTGAAGTAATTGAAATTCCAACAAGTGCAAGAACTTACACCGCAACGGAAAGAGTTGATTCGCTAGGCCGAAGGTGGTGAACTGCCGAATTTGGTTTTCTCCGATGAGGAAACATTCGTTGTTCAGCAGTTTGTAAACAAACAAAATTATCGTGTTTACTTGCCAAAGAGGTCAGATGAAAATGTGCACCTTAGGTTGGTCACCAGTACCCTAGCTTCGTCCATGGTGATGGTGTGGGCCGCCATTACAGCCGATGGTCGCACTCCACTCGTATTAATCGACCGTGGCATCAGAATAAATGCCGAATATTATCGCGAAAATATTCTTGAGGATGTATTAAGGCCTTGGGCACGCAAACATTTTGGCCGCAGACCTTGGACATTCCAAAAGGACTCAGCACGCGCCACCCAAGAATGGTTACAAAATGAGGTTCCTCGCTTCATTTCCATCGCACAATGGCCACCAAAATCTCCGGATACCAATCCGTTGGACTATTGTGTCTGGAGTATTTTGGAAAGCAAGGTTGGCAGTAAAGAAACCAAAGTGTCGATCACATTAAGAAAGCGCTTCGCCGGGAATGGGCCAAAATACCGCAGAGCAACATTCGGGTAGCATGTGACGATTTCACTGGCTGTTTGAAGACCATAATTCGTGCCAAAGGTGACCAATTGGAACAAATCTAAACACTTACGATGACCAAATGTTTCCCAAATCTGTAGTCATTTGAAAATAGTTTTTTTTTTTTTTATTACAAAACTGGACCCATGCTAAATTTACTGCCGAATGCTATAAAAACATCAAACTGCAATCAGTGGCAATGTTATCTCCACATAAATTATTACCGTTAAGTGTCGTAAAATCAATAACAAATTGTTCGATCGTCTCGTTCGGTTACGTTACCAATTTACGTAAAGGGTTTTCTCAATGTATTAATCATGTCGCAGATTAATGCAAATTCTATGTCATCAATTAATAGTGTGTTACGATGAATATCGACACCCTCCAAAAAAAAAAAAAAAAAAAAAAAAACAGTGCCCAATTTGTCTATGAAAAATGTTTATCTTGTTAATATTAACTGGAAAAAAACTGCACCCCAAATTAAATAATTATGTTTGGTTATGTGACTATTTGCCAGATAAGATAATAGTGATATTCCGCCACCGTATACATACGTAGCAGTTTGTTAATTATGTTACATATTTGTCTCCTCATATCAGTCATTACTTTTTATGAGAGAAAAAGAAGAGGAAGAAAAATCTGAGTTTATTTTGGCCACATCCTGCTGTCTTTTCCCAAATTGTGATATTTTATGTTGTAACATTTCTACGAAGCAAGAATTTTATTTTCTATTTGAACTGAGAGTCCGTGAGAGTTATTCGAACCAACATCCGATAATATTCGCAGTTTTGGGTTCCAATATTAGTGATTATGAAAATATTACCAGTCAGAATTTTTATACCCTCCATCATACTATAGAGGGTATATTAACTTTGTCATTCCGTTTGTAACTACTCGAAATACTCCTGTCAGACCCAACAAAGTATATAAATTCTTGATCAGCGTAAAATTCTTAGTCGATTTAGCGATGCCCGTCCATCTGTCCGTCTGTTGTAATCACGCTATCTTTCGAACGAATTGAGATAGAAGGCTAAATGTTTGCTCACCTGTTTATTTAGGCAGGTTAAGTTCGCAAATGTGCTATGTAGGTCCTCGTTTTTATATGGCCCCCATTTAACGGTACCTCCCGATATTCGGTATTTTGATGATATTAGCGACATTATTCACCGGAATTGTTTCAAATTTGGTATTTGAAGTTCGAAATGAATACTACAGCCCATGGTACAATGATATCAAGGTAGGGCTATGATTTTGATTTTTTTATTTTCTTGGCCCAATATGTCATCTTTATTTGTTTATGTATGTGTTTTCTTTTCAATACCAAAAAAAATGTTCAGAAAAAATTCAAATTTTGGTGTTTTCAACCCCTATTACCCCTATATAACGGTACCTCCCTATATTCGGTTTTTTGATGATTTTAGCGACATTATTCACCGGAATTGTTTCAAATGATGTATTTAGAGTTCGTAATGGGAACTACAGCCTGTGGCACCTGCAGGTCCAGGTCTTCGTATCGGCCCCATATATCAGTACCTTCCTATATTCGGTATTTTGACGATTTTAGGTACAATACTCACCGAAATTGTTTGAGATGTCGTATTTGATAATGTATTCTACAGCCTGTGACAGAAAATTGTCTATGCAGGCCCAAGTCATCGAACAGCTCCGATATAACGTATTTTGCAAATTTTATTCACCGTTTATTTCATGTTTCTAATTTGAAATGGTTATGGCTTATGACAAACAATACC